ATGGCGAGTATACTTGCATAAAGGCTGTCTACGAGTGTGCCATCGCTTTCCCGAAAGAGGCCGACTTGGCGTCTGTGGACTCGGAGATGAGCCGACTTTTTGCGACAAATGGTTTGATGCGTATTATACAGGCTGAAAATGGACTGACCACAGCCAGGCTTGTGGAAAATGTATCTCTTTCTGTATTGGCTATCTGTCATATGAGCAGAATTGAGCAATGCCTCGATGATAAGAGTTCACAACTTTTACAGGAGTTTTCGGCCCATCTTATGCTCTACCTCGTCGGCTCTGATTTGGCGGACAGTTTGAAAATATCGTCGATGTTTAATCACCTGGAGAGCGTTATTAAGACGTACGATGCCACGGAGAGGTCTATGCAAGAGGCTTCCAAGCTGCTGGAGGCTCTGTTGCCCTCGTATCCGGGTCGTGACGACGATAAAGTACAGATTGCTTATTCGCACATTCCTGTGCTCAAGAAGGGCCTAATTGCTTGGATTCTTGCTTTGCCTAATAGGCCTACACGACATTCACACTATGGACAAGTTGAGCTGCTACTAGACGCTCTAGTATTTGCTACGCACAAGGGGCTGAGTTGGTCACGAAAAACGCTCAAGAATGCGCTAGAGGCTCTGGCTCAAGATGAAGATATCGTGAAGTTGGGCACCACTTTTGTATCCTCTGAGCGCATCCAGAATGGCATCAAATTGATTGATTCCCTGAATTGTGCACTTTTAGATTATGTGACATGTAAACAGCTGCTTCCCCTCTTATCCTTTCTGCTGTCGAATGCCGGCACTGACTTGTCTGTGCCAAATGAGGTACCGCTCTCTATCGTACACCAGTTCATCTGCGAGGCTCTGGTTCATACCGACCACTCTGTCTGCCTATCTCAAAGTGGTCTTCAACAGTTGCGACTGCTTTTCCACTCGCGGGTTGAGAGTTTTCGCAAACTAAACGATAAGACGATTGCTCTTCTGCTGCAGTTTATCTGTGGTCCTAGCGAGCCCCGAGAACTTCAGCCGGAGGAGCGAGAACAGATTGTTGAGCTGCTCAAGCAGCGTCTCTTCTGCTCGTCAGCCCCAGTCGACTTTGCAGATTTCGAGGACATGGCATGCCTGCTTGACCGTCTCTCCAAGCCTGATCCGGGCGTCTTCCATCGCGACGACAACATCGGATTTCTCGAGCTTGAAAACCTCCAAGAGAGGTCCGAATCTGCCTCTGCAAGCTGTTCCGCCGTTTTGGCAGCCTTCCAAATTGACCATCTTCCCGCTGACGGACTGCTGACTTTCTGTGAGGCAGTGACCCTGTTGGGATGCCTTCGACTTTTGTTGTCTACTGAGGTTATTCCACTATTGGCCAGAGAGCAGGTCTCACCTCTGTTCGAGGTGCTAGAGGCCCTGACTCGTGAGCTGCAGAACACCACCGGTTGCATCCATCTTTCGTCGACCCGGCTTGTCCTTCTCAAGGGCTTTTCGGGCGAGTTGATCGCCATGTTGAGACAGCGAGCTGAGGACAACCTGAGGCTGGCAGTCGCCTCGCCCGGGGGCACGAGTAGGACAGATGTTCATTGGTTGTTGCGGATATTGTTGATTTCTAACTTTCGAATCATCTCACAGCCAGTGCTAACTGAGAGTCTCGAGGCTACAGAAGAGATGGGAAACTTTTCGACTGCCCTGAGCATTGAAGATGTCCTGCAAAGGGAGCGCAAAGTAGCAGACATGCTGCTGTCCCTCTCTACAAACACGAACCAGCCGGAAGCTCT